AAAACTCCAATTTTAGATCGAGCGATATTTGACCGATGCATCCTAAACGAGAATCGAAGGTCTCGTCATTTGTAGTACAACGGTAAAACTTCTGACGAAAACGGATGTCGGATAATGAAGTTATGAATTTTTAACGGATTTTCCTATCCTGGTCTGTTAAAAATAATAATATTAAAATTAAAGTCAAAATTAGCTAACGGAGTCTAAACGAAAGTTGTAGAGCTTAATTTTATCTACGCGTGTATATAAAGAACGTCAAAAATGGAGATCATATGCGAAAGTTATGGATTTTAGAAGTTTGGGGCACATTTTCCGAGAAATTCGCATGAATAGTGCCAGCCTCGCGAGATCTCGCCTCGTGTCCGACACGCATCACATTTCGGTTCGCCCAGAGCATCGGTCCCTCGCATGTCCGATGCATGCTGCTTCCAGATTCGACCAATGTCGCGACCAGTAGCATTCTGATGCGCGCTTCGCACCGCCTTCGCCACCGAGCAGCTTCGTCACCCTTCCGTCCGAGCCTCGTGGCCTTCGCTTCTCGCGCCACCTACCCCTCGCTGCTGACGCCACCGAGCTGCTTCCTGCTTGCTTCCTCCCAAACTGACTCTGAACCTCGGCCCTATATAAAGGGGGCTGCGAGACCTTCCAACTAAAATTCCAAATTTGACAATTTTAACCCCTCTTTCCATATCTTCACTATTTTGACTTATCCCGAAGCTCCGATATCAATTTTAGCACCCGAAACATGCCTCGAGACCCCCGAGAAGCCCAGAAATTTTATCTTTTCGGTTTTGAAGCCCTACCTTCGCAGAGTCGGGTTTTCAATTAAGCTCTCGGTTTTCAACATAGAAAGACATATTTAAAGCCGAAGTGTTATCCAAATTACTATTTTAACCCTCGGTTAACTTAAGGTGAGTTCAATATATAGGAATAATTGTATGTTATGTGTTATATGTGCTATATGCTTCTCATTTTTATTATTCTGAGTTATTCTCCCGTGTTATTTTATTCGCTATGTTTATAGCAATTATAATACCTTTGACCATGTGATCAGTGAAAGGACTTAGATTCACCTTGGTACTGGTACGTAGCCTCTGGCCATGTAGAGCATGTCTCCGTAAGATAATGACTTCTATTCTATGGCATTGGAAGAATGTTAGATAAGAATGGTATGTAGCCTCTGACCATGTAGAGCATGACTCCGTAAGAGAATGAACTTTATTCTATGGTATTGGCAAATGGTTAGGCAGGGCTATAAGCCTTAAATCTACCAAAATGTTAATCAAAAATTATGTCTTCTGTGCCAATTGGGCCAAAGCTTTATTGATGCATATCAAATATTGAAATCGTTATGTCTCATTGAAAAGTATATCTTTTAATAAAGTCTTTGATTGATATGAACGCTTGTCACATGATTTCACATATGTCTTCTTGTTCCCTTCTGCTTCTGTCATATTGGTATATGTAAGGCATAAGATTATATTGTATCTATTTATTGAATTCACTAAGTGTTATCGCTTATTCCTCTCAATATTTAACAATAGCAGGTGATGAGTATTCCACTTTAGCTTTATACTGCTGAAAGATTTAGAATAGTTAATAGTATTTCTCTGTATTTTTAATGTTCATGTATGTATATGAATAGTAGATTCCTGGGTAAACATGAAATGTAATAAAACTTAGTCGGTTTGTATCCAATCCTTTGTAATCACTTTATCAATATAAAATATTATTTTATAAATATGCATGTAGCATGTTTTGAGGAAGTAACTTAAGAAATATTTTGAAATAGTATGAAAGTTTGGGTCTTTCATAAATACGAAATTTGGGGTCTTTCACTATTGGCCAAGTTTGGGATGACGGGAGACTCCAAAGTGAAAGTGCCTATGGCCTTTGGGACAAAGCTTACACCTTAATTGGAGAAACCATTTGTTGATATGACGCTCTATCGTCAAATGATTGGGTCTCTGATGTATCTCATAGCTAGTAGACCTGACATCATGTTTTCAGTCTGTTATTGTGCAAGACTCCAAGCTAACCCCCGTGAAACTCATCTGCAAGCAGTGAAAAACATGTTTCGCTATTTGAAGCGAACCTCCTCTCTCGGTTTGTAGTATCCAGCCAACTCAGGATTCTTTGTTCAAGCATTCTCGGACGCTGACTTAGGTGGTTGTGGATTAGATCGTAAGAGCACCACTGGAGGATGCCAATTTATAGATGGTAAATTGGTTAGCTGGCAATCGAAGAAACAAACGTGTGTGTCTCTCTCTCTCCACTGCAGAAGCTGAATACATTGCTGCAACATCATGCACATCTCAAGTCGTATGGATACAAAGTCAGCTTAGGGATTACAGGCTAAACATGAAGAAAATCCCACTATATTGCGACTCTGAAAGCGCAATTAGGATTTGTCACAACCCAGTGCAACAGTCAAAGACTAAACATATAGCACTAAGGTACCACTTTATAAAGGATCACGTTGAAGATGGTAACATAGAAATTCACTTCGTTAGAACAACCGATCAACTGTCAGATATTTTCACTAAGGCTTTACCTGAAGCGAGCTTCAATAAGATTCTACAAGGCCTAGGAATGATGGAAGTCGAATCTGTGCCAAAATCGCCTTCGCTTCAATAAAGGTAAGAAGCGAAATAGAGCGAACCGAAATGAACCGAACGTTCGGTCTATTTCGGGTCCGGTCCTTCTGAACTCGTTCGCTTCTTTTTCGTATCAAGGCATTTTAACTATATTTCTTTGTACACTTTTTTAAATACTTCTTTTATATTCATAAAATCCAAAAATATTTTTCTCTTTCGTTAAATTGGTCAATTCTCACAAAATACAAAAATATTTTTTCATGTTTTATTTTTAATTTTTTTATCTAATGTTTTTATTTGTATAAGTGTGATTCTCGATGGTGAAGCTAAGGCATGTAAATTTTTTTGTTAGTTAGGCGTCCCTAGAAGCATGTTGTTGTATGTTGACTAAAGCCTCAAAAGATTTTGAGTGAAGCCTTAATAACATGATATATACAAATCATTTTTTCCCAAACTAGGCTGTAATATTCACTCTAATCATGAGCTACCTTACTCTACTCACATTGAGTTTAGAGTTTTCTGCTTGGTCATTCTTTTTCTTTATAGCATAGGTACATTCGCTTCTTTTACCATCTCCATCATTTTTCTCCATTATACTTCGTTTCACCAATATAACCCTTGAGACTCTCAGAACATACCACTGAGGTTTATGGTTATCCTAAATCAGTGTTAATGATCTTAGTTTCATGCCACTATGAACTAAGTGAAACCCACAATCCAACACCAATAATGAATTGACGGTGATTCTCATATTCAAGATCTTACTTGTTACCTAATGAAATCTCCTTTTATTTTTAAGTGATCTTTTATGAATTTGTCTAAAACCAAGACTTTTCTTTCCCTAAAAATCCAGTTTATTTTTGTTTTTGAGATTTCTATAATTTCTTTTGTCACTATAACCTATATCCTACCTACTTGTTCAGCGGATCAGATTGATCTCACAAGTACTTCATTCAGTTTCGATCTTATGTCAAGTATCGAAATTATGAATCGAAGCGAAATCCACCCCTTATAACCTTCAAAAAGATGCCTTTCAATACTTCTTAATAGGTTATTGACCGTTATTTAATGGGAAACCAAGCAAACACTTTAATGTCTCTCTTGACTTTGAAGGAAGTGATTCGTGCCCAGAATCAATTGTTTTATGTCTCTTTAAGACATCACAAATTATCACAAAAAGTTTTCTTTATTTCTTTATCTTTTACACTCTACGCACGAAAATTTTTAATTTTCCAAACTCTGGTTCTTTTAAGGCTGTTCAATAATGGTGATTCAAATGAATTTTGGGGTGGCGATTGGGATAAAGTGAAAGCTGACTCAACGGTTGTCTAATCGTTTTGGCGATTTGAAAAAGCGAATTTTATGGAATGGTGTGCAAAAAGGAAACGTCCTTTCTCTTTCCTGCGTCATCATCGGTATGCCAACTATTCATCCATCAAGTCAGGTGCTATTTTTGAAATAATCCAAGATCTCAGCTGGATTTTTCTCTCTCCTCCTTGTACGTATAAAAGGAATTGGAACGGTACTCTTTACCCTTTTATCACTCGCAAAACTCTTTCAAAGAACAATGGCGATTTCTTTTACTGTTCATCATCTTCTCCAAGCTTCTACAATGGCATACTCTTCGTCCGTTCATGATACTTCTGTTCGTCAACCACTTCTCACAATCAAACCTCAACAAAACCTGATCATCGATCTCACTCCTCTTATCTATGAACCCTACATGCTATAGGTGGTTGAGTGTCTCAAATACTCTCCTCTTGTCGAAGCTCTAACCAAGGTTGAAGTCATACCAATGTCCTGCCTTTCACTTGTCTACTCTACTGCTTACTACGACAAGGTTCATGAAAGGATTCACTTTGAAATCCACAATGAGAAGACCTCCATCTCCAAGCATCGCTTTTGTGCCCTAATTGGTCTTTCTCAAGAACCAACTCTGGTAAACCCTGAATCCATCACTACTAGTCAACTATTTTCTATGTTTTATCAGATGGGGTATACTGAAATCCTCACCATAATAACCAAGTTCAAGAAGTCCTGTATTCCTCCTCAATGGAATGGACTTTCACTTTGCTGTTCAAAGGACTCTCTAAACGCAGCGCCGGCTCAGATGGGGTGAGCAAGTCTTTTATCACTGTGCTATATGGACTGTACCATGGGATAGATTTCGATTTTGGTACTATTATCTGGCAGCAACTGGTACAAAGCTTAGTCTCTTCATCCAGGTACTCAGAGATTTCTTGTGGGCGATTTTGGTCAATAATTACTAACTAGGCAATGGATTGCCTTCATGTTCCAATCGTGGCGGATTCTCTTCTCTCCTCTATCGCTACTTTTCACACAACCAAAATCATAGTCACAGATCCCACAAAGTACTACTTTATTGGATCTGTTCTTGAAACCATGCTCTCTCGTGTCTCTGTAGTGAGTAATGTTCTACAACAATACAGGAAGATTCCGACTTTGGGTCCAAGGGAGCTTACGCCAGCCATGGTTCGCTCCATTGAAGAGGCTGACAAGCCAGTGAAAAGGGGCAAGAAAACTGAAACCCAGAAGGAGGCACAGGTTTCCAAATCAACCAAGGGGAAAACCCCTCAGAAGCGAAAACCTGACAAGGCTGCTCCGTCACAGCCTCAACCGAAGAAGCAAAAGAAGCCTTCTAGGAAGCTTATACTCCAATCTTCCAGTAATTCAGATTCAGAGTATGTTCCTCCCAAACATAAGTCTGCTCCTCCTTCAGAATCTGAGAGCGAAAGCTCTAATGATGAGGCTTCGGGCCGAGGAGATACTCTGCCTCACTCCCCTACCCCAGAAGTTTCAGTTCGCTCTCCACCTCCTTCTCCTACCCCTGTTACCATTCCAGTATCCATCCCTCCTATATTTCCCATCCCAACCACTCAACCATCCACTATATTTCCAATCCCTACTCCTATAATCACAGACACTACTACCACAGGGGCTCATTCTCAAGCTCCCAATCCACCCATTACAACCAAACCACCGGTAACAACCGAACCACCAGTAACCACTGAACCTCTAACCACTACCAAACCCTTATCTACTACTCCATCTATAGGACCCACCCCAGTTCTAGGTGGTAAGGACTTGGAATTTGATTCCACGTATTTTAGTCCTTACCGTGTACAGAGTGACGATGATGATGATGAGCCTATTACAAAGCGTCATCTCAAGGCAGTAAACGAAAAACTCGATCAACTGCTCTCATCCTCTTCCTCTGAAGCTGCTTTAAAGGCCTTGTTCTCTTCTGTTGTTCAAGAACACAGCGCCTCACTCTCTGCAGCAGCTAAAGCTATTAAAGTCTCCACTTCTCAATGGCAGCAAGCCTCCCTTGCAGTTGAGGCTTCCACCAAGGTGTGCAAGGAAGCGACCGCAAAAGTCGATAAACTAGTGTCTGAGGCTCACCTATTTTTAGATTCCTTGCAGGCGGCTGCTAAGAAGAATGCTCAAATTGACAACGCTTTGGTGGACACCCTTCAACGTTCGCTTCAATCTGAAAGGTCCAACCTTGAAGCTGCACGCCAAGCAATCGAAGCTGCCAACAAATCTCTACATGCTAATGTTAATGATTGTCTGACTCAACTTGAGGCATAATTGGCTGTAGAGAATCACATCATGGACGAGCTTGACAGGAGAACCTCTCAGCTGAAGATGAAAAATTACAAGCTTCGTACTGCAACTGCTGACCTTAATGACCTAAAGTCTGAAAGGGCGGTTATTTGAAGCTCTACTGCTGATGTTCACTCCATCCTCCTTCATCTCCATAAAGCGCATGATCCCATCATCACCATTGCTATCAGAAGGCACTTGGCTGACAAGCTCAGTCCAGCATTGGACATCCTGAGCCGTATTGAAGGTGTTCCAGTGACTGGTGTCCAGCTGAAACAAGGGGGAGAAAAGGCAACAACTCAACCTCCTCCTGCACCAAAACCATCCACTGAACCGAAGGGTAATGAAGCTTCAGTCAGTATTAAGGAGAAAAAGAAGAAGATTGGGGAGGATGATACGGATAATAAAGATGATGTCTATGCTGAGAATCCTGAAAATCCTTTTCAGAAGGCAAAGTCCTCCAACAAAGAGCTAGCAGAAAAATTCAAGAAACAACAGGCTGAGCTTGAGCAAAAGCGAAAGGAGATGGAGCTCCTGGAAAAGAAGAAGTCCATGTTTCCTGTCTGAACTATAGATTCGCTTAAAAGGTGTGCCATTGATGAGCCTAGCATACTTTGGCTTGAGCCTGTGGTGTCATTTGGGCTCGATAACTCCAAGGATGCACAGTTTGACATGCCGATCACGCGAAACGCATTCATTTTTCACTGCTTTAATTCAACTGTTGCCATTCCTTCTCCAAACCCGAAGGTAGATAGGGATATGTTGGAGTTCTACTTAGAGTTTGCTCAACCCCACTACTTGACCTGGATTTCAAATAAAATTACTACTGTCAAGGTTTTGAAAGCCTACTCAGCGGGGAAGTTTATTAACGTTAAATTCAAAGTGACTCGAGGCACTGAAGGCTCAGTTCACAACTTCACCCATGCTGATCTACCGAACCTTAATCCACACGACTGAATAGTACTCCTGAACAATATTGTATTGTAAATTCCAGGGGAGAACCAGTCAATAATTGACCATGTCAAGCGAATGCTTGTGTGCTACATTCACGAGGTACCGAAGATGAGCCAAGAGATTGCTTCTGCCATTCACAAGTGAACCACGATCAAGACTATGGGCAAAGAAGGAAATGTCAATACAATGGTCAAGGGGAAGATTGATTTGAGATACCACACTGTAATGTTCGTTAGGGGCGAAGGTCAGAAATGCCTATTCGCTCTCGTTGACAAACACCTCTTCTCAACTTCTTGCCTGGAGCATATTTTGGAGATCATTCAGAGGTGTGATCAGAACAGTGAAACTGACAAGAAGGTGTTCACTGATATGCTGAGGTGCTATATTCATTTTCAGCATACACTTCTTGCAATAATTCATCGGTTGTTCAAAGTGATAAAGACAGTGAAGCCAACACAGAAGAAATAATCTCTCGCCTCATTTGACGCAAAGGGGGAGATTGTTGGGATTATTATGTTGCATCATGGTGCATGCATGCAGTCTTTGTAGTTAACGTTTTAATTATTTTTCTCGTTGAGTTTTTGTAAAACCCTAGCTTGCCTCTACAGTGGAAGTTCTTTGCTGAGCTCTGCTAAGGCGTGACTTTATTGGAATCATAAGCACTTAATACCTCATTATAAGTACAATGAATATTGCAAAGTAACTAACATGTTTTTCCAAATTCCCAATCTTAGTTACTTTAGGGTAAAATGTGAAAATGATGTTATTCCATCGAATTACACTTTGTACCCTTATCAAACGTTAGTGGAGCGTGTGTGGTTAACCTGCACACTAATTTGGGATTGACATTGGTGGCAAAGGGTGGCTCGATGTTTGTCATAGATCAATGGAGTGTGCGTGGCTAACCGGCACATTGATTAGGTAATAGAGACACTGAGTGCACCATGTTGATTTTCATGGTTATTTACAACTTGTTTGCAATCCTAAGCATCCCAGTCGCAAATTTGAAGTGCATATCGAGATTTAAACATGTCATTGAAAAGTTCAATGAATCTCAAAGAACTAGGAGTTTTCAAATACATTTAAAACTTAATCTCTTTTTTCAATTTTCATGGTGAAAATTAGCGAATCATCATTCGCTTACCTTCAAGCCCTAATTTATCATTTGGGTGTCTAATTGGGGATTCAATTGTAATCAAACTTTATTCCTTCCTATATTCAGATGTCTAACGCAAATGAAAATAACACTGCTCCTAGTTCATTCTTGCTAATGAGCCTATGTCAAAAAGTGACATTTGATGGAACTAATATCAATGAATGGATGAGATACATTCGCGTGGTTGATCGTTACGAGGACAAAGAATATGTCCTCGACAAGAAGCTTGAAAAGATCAATCCAGAAGTCGCTACTCCTAAAGAGTTGGCCGTCTTTGAGGCCCACGAGCGTGATGCAACGAAAGTTCATTGCATTATGCTTGCCACCATGGATCTTGAACTCCAAAAGTCCTATGAGGACATGTATCCATATGAAATGCATCAAGATTAGCTGGAGAGGTACTACCAAAGCACAAGGCAAGAGCATTCTGAGATCATCACCAACATGATCACCGCTAAGATGGGGAGTGGAGAGTCCCTAACCTTGGATTTGCAGAAGATGCAGAGGTATGTTGATCGTATTCTCAAGTTAAATGTTAACTTTGGGGAAGATTTAGCTATCGACCTAATTCTCCACGAGAATGGCCACTGGAAACGAAGTCGCCCTAAGTATCTGCAAGCATAAAGTATGGGAAGATAAAGCCCACCTTTGCAGGTATGTATTCTATCAAATTTAACAACTCATCACGTGCTACTTCATGGGTTCTTGACATAGGATGTGGTTACAACATTTGTTCTGATGTGCAGGGCCTAAGAAGAAGTAGGGAGGTGGAACATGGGAAGATAAACTTGATTATGGGAAATAAAAGATTGTCACCTGTGACCAGAGTCAGAGTTTATTCTTTAGTGTTGCGTAATGGGTTAGGGTTGGATTTAAATAATTGTTGCTATTCGCCATATATGGCAAGAAACATCATTTCATTTCATGGATTGTTTAGACAAGGTTTTAGATACTCATTTGATAATATTAATGGTACTATAAATTTTTATTTGAATGGTGTTTTTTATTTCAATGCATTACCTTATAATGGGATTTATGAATCTGTTTTGGTTGTTGACAATCTAGGAAATGATGTGTTGAATATTGATTCGTCTAATAGTCTAGAGAAAGCATGCTTGTGGCATTGTCGCCTTGGGCATGTCAACCAGAAACGCACAGCCCAACTCCAAAAGGATGGAGTCTTGGAGTCATTTGACCTTAGGGATGATGACATGTGTGAATCTTGTTTACTTGGGAAGATGACCAAGTCACCCTTTACCGGCACTTGTCAAAGGGGTAAGGGTCTATTGGATCTCATACACACCGATGTGTGTGGGACCTTTAGATCCACCACAAGGGATGTTTGCTGCTTCTATGTGACTTTTATGGATGATTATAGCAGATATGGATATATCTACTTAATCAACCATAAGTCAGAAACTTTTGAAAAGTTCAAAGAGTTTAAGAATGAAGTGGACAATCAGCTGGGCAGGAAAATCAAAATGCTTCGGTAAGACCGAGGAGGAGAGTACCTAAGTCTTGAGTTTCACGAGTATCTAAAGGAATGCGGAATTGTTTTGCAATTGATGCCTCCGGGAACGCCACAATTGAATGGTGTGGTTCAGAGACGTAATTGGATCTTGCTAGACATGGTTCGTTCTATGATGAGTCGGGCTTTGTTGCCGATAGCTTTCTGGGGGTATGCTTTAGAGATTGTCACCCATATCCTTAACTTAGTTCCCACCAAGAAGGTTACCAAGACACCTTACAAGATGTGGACAAGGAAAGCTCCCTCGTTGTCACATATCAAGGTTTGGGTTTGCGAGGCTTTCCTAAGACAAGAGACTCACGACAAGCTCGAACCTCGTAATGAGAAGTGTTATTTCATCGGCTATCCACAGAATTCTTTTAGCTATCTCTTCTATAGATCGAGTGACAATGTTGTCTTCATTGCTAGAAGAGGAGTTTTCCGAGAAAGGGAACTGATAAGTCAAGAGGATAGTGGGAGGAAAATTGATTTTGAATAGATTCAAGAGCAAAGCGATGAAGAAACCTCTAACATTGGCACTCAACCCGAGGAGGAAACTCCTGTTGAGCCCATTGACGAGTCCTTACCTCTTAGATGTTCCAGTAGAGTTAGTGTTCAACCCTAGTTATATGGTTTTCATATTACTGCTGAAGGGGATACGTTTATTAGTGATGAAACACTGATAAATTTGGATGAACCTAGCAGCTACAAGGAAGCCATGGCAGGCCCGAAGTCGGCTAAATGGAAAGAGGCGATGGATAGCGAGATTCAGTCCATGTACGACAACCAAGTTTGGAATTTGGTTGAAAATGTACAGGGTCGTAAGACAGTCGGGTGCAAGTGGATCTTCAAGAAGAAGATGGACATGGATGAGAAAGTGCACACTTATAAAGCACGATTGGTTGCGAAGGGCTTTACTCAAACTCTTGGAGTTAACTATGATGAGGCCTTCTCACCAGTTGCTAAAATAAAGTCTATTAGGGTAATGCTCGCAATAGCCAGGTTTCATGATTATGAAATCTGGCAAATGGACGTGAAAACCACTTTCCTTAATAGGAAGTTGGTTGAGGATGTGTATATAAATCAGCCAGAGGGTTTGTCGATGCGAAGCATCCCAATAGAGTGTGCAAGCTTGAGAAATCCATTTATGGATTGAAACAAGCGTGTCGCAGGTGGAATCTTTGTTTTGACGAGAAGGTCAAAGAGTTTGGTTTTTTGCGAAGCAAAGATGAGTCATGTGTATATGTCAAAGCCAGTGGGTGTATAGTAAGCTTCCTCGTATTGTATGTCGATGACATACTTCTCATAGGAAACAACGTCCCAACCTTGTAGGAGGTTAAGTCCTGGCTTGGGAAATGTTTCGCTATG